AACCCCTTTAAGACGATGGACTTTTATTTGGAAGTCTCAAATAATGCTGTTTCCAATCAATGGAAGCAAACCGTTTCAACAAGGTCGCTTTAATTGAATAATATAAGTATGTAAAGATTTAAGAGGAGTCTGAAATACACTTATACTCCGAAAAGTGAAACAATTTCAACCATTTCCGCGAATAGAAGCTAGAGCCCGTTTATACTGTGGTACCTACGTAATTAGCCGCTGTTTTTTTTTTCAAAAATAGATTTGCTTCTTTTTAGAGTTTGAAGAAGACCCCGTAAAACAACTGTAGCATTGATTTCTACTTTCTGAAGTCCGAATTCATTCGTAAAATTCGCAAACGAACATTGCATTATTCTCATGTTATGCTTTGTTACGCTATTTATTTGATGATCTTGTTGCATCGTATCCTAATGAACGCAGCTGCTCGTTGTTCCAGCCAGCACGGCTTTGTTCGGGTTTTCGTTGTGTTCTTTCGATGATTTCATGCGAGCGATCGGACCATCGAGCAACCACAGAATTTTAGGTCGATGCGATGCAAACAGTAAGGCTGAACAGAGCAGCGGTTGCTGCTAGTGCAGCTGTGATGTTCATTCTGCTCTGCGTCATCTCCTACTTACCTTCGACACCTGCAAATCTGCAACTCATCAGGGCAATTAGACCTGAGCCTGATTTGTTGGTAAGTGATGTCAATCCTTGCTAAATTTGCTCTTCCTTATAACAAAGCTCCGAAGCTTATTCTAAAGGCATTTTTTGATGGGTCTTGAATCACATTCACCAAATTCCTCATGGAGTCAAAGTTTCGCATTATTTCCTGAATTGCTTCCAAATAAAGCTACGATTAACTCCAATAATTCGTTTTGCTGTGTTCAAGATTCCATTATAATGATCATAATCAATCACAGCAACGGCACCAAAACAAACATCTAGTCAGACACAGTGTAATGAGAGTTGATTGCGCTCTGAAGATTTTATCTGCCTCCTGATTTTGGTAC